CCTGGCATCCTTGGGGAAGTCACCACGTGTTTCCCGGGGACATTCAGGAATGAGCAGAGGACGCGCGGCCATCCCTGCGGCTGTGTTCCGCACTTACAGAGCGAGCACGGCCTGATTTCCAAAGCATTAGGTCACAGACACGGTTTATAGCATGTCCCGCGTACTCTGGACATCACACTGTGAAGTCTCTCATGGTCTTTAAAACGGGATGGTCTCACACTGTAAGTTTATTTAATTCGTGTGACTCGCAGGTTTAGTCAGAGGTACTAAATGGTGTCAATCTCGAAAGTAGAAAGTAATCAGGCACTTAACGTATTAACTTGCTTTCTCTCAAACGGTTCCTCAATTTATTGTATAAGCGAATGGAGCGGCTGTAGGTTATTGACAGGAGGTTATTGTTGATATTTGCGTAGTGCTTCACAGCCGTCCGGTGACCCTCCCGAAGCAGCAGTCTGCACTTTCCAGAACAAATTCCTGAGAAACAGCCTTGAGGCGTGGTTGTGAGAGCTCCGCTCTGGAGTCTGTGCGGCATCTGCCTCCGCGAGGAACGGGTACACACTTGCGTGTGCTGGACACTGTCAGCTCCGTGCCAACCCGGGGAACCCTCCGTGTGCGCCTGGACTTCCTGAGCAGGTGCCGCCGGGTGGACAGCGCTCCCCGCCGAGGCCGGCTCCAGCTGCTCTCCGCCGCCTTCGGGGCTGGCGCTCGCCCGCTCCACGAGTCTGTGCGGTGTCCTTTGCCGAGGTCCGCCCCGGCTGTCTTCCCTATCGCTGCGGTTGTTACCAGGCACTCACTGAGGAATTGCACAGAGGGCAGGGCAGAAGGAAGGAGGGGACTGAGCTAGGAGGCCTGGAACGGTGACAGGCCGGAAGAGAAGGTGAGGGCGCTGCTGCGGGTGGGTCTCCGGTGCCTGCGTGGTGACTCAGTCTGGACTCCTCAGCGAGGGTGGAGGACTGTGTGGTCCCGTGCCCGTGACCACCTTCCCCTTTCCCGGGCCAGGCCAGGCCTAGAGTGACCCTCCGAGCAGTTCCCTGCTGTAAGTTCCAGCTTCCTCACTGCGTGCGGTGGCCAGCCCCGACCCGCAGCCTGCACCTGGGCTATGGGGCGCTCAGCAGGGTCTCCCCTGCCGTCGCTGTTCACTTACTGGGAGATCATTCCCAGATCATGACGCTAAGGGGACAGGGTTCCTCAGCAGCGAGCGGGTGAGGCCTTTCATCGCCTCCCTGGAACGCCGGAGACATCCTCCCTGCCCTGGGCGGCTGTCTCGCTGCTGCCGGGCTCCTCCCAGCTCCCCAGGAAGCTGCTGCTTGCAGACCTGAGGCTGGGTCCTGAATGTCTGTCTCAGGATCTTGCAGAGCAGCCAGGCAGGGACTATCCTGGCAATGCTGTGTGCGTCTGTGGCTTGCTCCAGACTGCACGCTATGCCCGCTGCGGAGGGTGGGAGGAGGCCGGAGGGTCTGGGGCAGGGCTGCAGAGCCAGCCCCCAGGCCCGACACTCGCAGCTGGCCCTCGCTCCGCCCAGGCTCAGAGCCGCTCCGCCCACTCAGCTCACACTTCAGGTCACCTGGAGCTAATAGCCGCTTTGCAGCTCACAGTCGCTTTTTGATCACGGCTGAAGGATGGGAGTGCTGAGCACTGCAGCCCGTGGGGTGTTCTCTGCAACTTCATTCCCTCCAGAATCCCTTCACCATCAGATGTCCCTGGCTTGTTTCAGGCGATGATCTAAGAACCTGCCAAGTGCATGTGTCAGAGCTCGGTGCTTCGGGTGGCATTAACAGGATAATCATTTCGGGGAAAGACCTTTGCAGACTGGAGAGGGATTATTTCTGTTTCTGACATGTATTTATCTCTCTTATTTTAATAGTCCTTTAAGTTCAGGTCTTCGGAACATGTACAATGGGAGTGGAATTCAAAAAGTTCATAGAAAAGTGGAACTACAGTGTGTGTTTTGCTAATACAGGTTTATTATAGAAAAGTGGAACTACAGTGTGTGTTTTGCTAATAGAGGTTTATTTTGGTGCCAAAAAGTTCGAAGCCCCTGCATAGCTTTCTCTTTTAGGTTTCTGCCAAAGGGCTTGTGTGCTCGCCAGAGAGAGAGACAGAGACAAAGAGAGGGAAGGTGAGAAATCACCCCCTAAGGGGACGGCCCCCTCACAGTCCCTTCTGCCCCGTCCTCCCGGACCCAGCAGGTCCCGAATGGCACGGCCATGTGGCGTCTGCACCTGCAGCACCACCCCACCTGCTGGCCCGCGGCCATGTGGCGTCTGCACCTGCAGCACCACCCCACCTGCTGGCCGCGTACTTTCCATCATACACATTTCCCGTGAGGTCTCTGAAGGCCCTGATCTGTCTCTTGCTCTGTCACTGCTAACTGTTGTCGTGTCCCACTGCCATGCAGTGTCTGTGTTTGGAGGTGGGCCGTGGTGGTGCGGGTTTCTAGTAAAATCCTCAGCGCTTGTTCCAGGAGGCCTGAGGTGTGAGGCCCGGCTTGGGCAGAGGGAACCCTCAGCGGCCTGTCAGGGATTCAGGCACCGGGAGGGTCTGCTGGCATCTGAGCTCACCACAGGCGTGAGCAGTGACAGCCGCTGCAGACCATCCCTGCACCAGGCCCCCCGGGGCAGCGAGGGTCCCTGCCCACTGCGTGATCCCATCAGCAGCCGGAGGTCTTCCGCACAGAACCTTCAGCTGAAGGCGGGCTTCCTAATGCTTTTTAAAAGCACCTGCCGTGGGTGAAGCAGTCTCCACATGGGATACCCCATGTAAAGTGACACGCTGTGCGTATATTAGGGTTATGGACCGAACCATGCAAATTGGCAAGGATTCAGCAGCTGGCAGCCGAGGGCCTAGAACGCCTCATCCTCAGCCGCTGTTGCTCTGGGTTCGATCCATTAGTCCGCCTGCCTGGGAAGGGCACCTTGACGTGCATTTTGAAAAGGTCTTCTGGTCGGAGTCATAAGGAAATTGACGCGTTTCGTATTTCTGCATAGCAATGATTCAGGAGCAGCATGGGCCTTTGAAATCCCCTGACTTCCATGGTCAGGTTTTTAATCCAGCTGATAAATACCAGAATGAAGACCGTCCCCACCTCCCCATTAACACTTGCTGATATTCCCTGAATGCCAATTTTGTGCCAGGTCCTTTACCTAAATTCTCTATAATTTGTACAAAATCCTGTCGAAGTTCCATCACCCCATTTTCATAGTGGGAAAATTGAGCATTGGGGTGTGCTCAAGGGTGCAAGCCACTGGGGGTGGGCGTGGGCCAGTTCTGCCCCCAGAGGCCACCTCCTATGCGTCCCTCCCGTGAGCCGTGCTGAGCAACAGAAAGGTCCAGGCACAGGCTGGTTAGGAGAGCAAGCAGGAAAGGCCGGGAGTCAGTCCAAAGTGGGAGTCACAGCGTCCCAGCCTGGCGAAGGGAACCGAGCAGGGCAGGAGACCAGCCAGGTCACACTCAGCTTGTCCTGAGGGACATGAAACGGAGACAGGGCGATAGGGAAACAGGCGCGACAGGTGGAGTGGAGGTGCACACGGGCATGCGGAACACCACAGACGACAAGACAGGGATTGTAAGGGAGAAAAGGAATGGGACGCCTGTGAGTCCGCACACAGCGGAAAGGCGGGCTAAGGGTGGCCTTTTCTTTGTCTTGCTTTTGCTCCCTGGGAGGGTAGAGTATTCGGGCTGGCAGGTGGTGCACTGGTTAAGGCACTGGACTCTCACGTGGCCGGCTGTGGTTGGAGTCCTGGACCTGGCAGCTTGAAAATCATGCCAGGCACGTGAGCACGCGTGCCCAAGGCCCTGAGAGAAGGGTCGTGGAGTGCCAACTCCCCGGGTGACTTCTCACTTTCCTGGTCTGTCTCTCTCCGGTGAGCAAACACACCCTAAAAATAAATAAAGAGTAAAGAGGACCCATCCTGGCCTGACTCACTGACTGTGCTGTTGGTTCGGATCATGTCAGTGATGGCATGTGACAACATGTGACCGGGCCATCAGAGCAGAGACTTACTTTGCTTGCCCATGGCCTGCCCAGAGATGAAACGGCCGAGTTCAGGTCCAGCCACTGCAGCTTTGGCCCCAGGTGACTGCGAGGGTCAGCTCCGTCCGATCACAGCCCCAGTGCGGCCGGCACCGTTCTCAGCTCCCTCCCAATCCCTGAGAGCGAGTGGCGGTGCTGTAAGCCCAAACCAGGGCTTGTTTCCACCCTCGGCTCACAGGAGTGCCCCACTGTGGTCCGTGCTGCAGCTGCAGGGACAGGGGCATCAGATTGTCCTTCCACAGCCCAGTGCTGCCACTCTCCACGCTCGGACAGGCCAGCGCTCTGCTGCACAGAGCCCAGAGCAGGAGGGAGACACGGAGAGAGCGGCTTCTGTTGACGTGCATTCATCTGTGGTGGAGGAGGGACTTGAGAAAGTTCACAGAGATAGAATTCTAGCCACAAGTTCCTGTTGGTGCAGAAACATGCAGAATCCGTGCCAGATATGCACTTTCTGTGAACTTCTTAAAGACCCTTTGGATTACTTTTTTCATTTAGAACAAATAACTGCCTTGTGTTTCTCTTCTCTGTGCATCATGTCTTAAAAATGTAAAGAACATATATATAAAATCTGACTTCCGGAATGCAGAGTTTTCTCAGTTGTCACTGTTTATAAATCGGTGTCTCAGTGGAGCTCACTGGCGGGCCTTTCTGTCACGACCTTAGAGCTGTCCTGGGAAGCAGTGACCTGGTGGCAGCAGCCCCACTTCCCCACTGCCGTACAAGAGAGGGTGCTGGCCCCTTCCCCACTGAAGTGTGGCTAAATTAATTAACTCGACAGTGACCTCTTATCATTGCACTCTGTTTAATTACACCTGAGGTTCCTCACTTCTTTGCTGATGTTTGGGAAGTCCGAAAGCTTAGTGAGGCCCACCGTCCTGCACGTGAGCTTCTTTTCTGAGGGAACTGCAGGTGCAAGGGCACCAGCTGGGAAAGTGGATGTCAATCTCTGTCCTTGTCTCCTCCACAGCGACATCCACGTCTACCACCGGTACCAGCCACCTGGTGAAGTGCGCCGAGAAGGAGAAGACCTTCTGCGTGAACGGTGGCGAGTGCTTCATGGTGAAAGACCTCTCCAACCCCTCGAGATACCTGTGCAAGTAAGGACAGAAAGCCCGTGCGGCCGTGCCGTGCCGTGCCGTGCCGTAACTGCTTGTCTCAGATGGTGCCGTGCCTCGTGGCGTGGTGTGGCTTCTTTTTTCGGTTCAGTTCGTCCTGTAGAATACCTCTATTTTATTTGTAGAGTGTCCTGAAGCCTTCTCACCATTTGTCATCTCCTTTGTTACATCCAGGATTGTTTTTTGCTCTGTCCGATGTTTTATTTATTTTTTGCATTCATATTTAAGATGTTGCTTTTCTCATTTTTTTTTCATTGTTACTCAAAGGAGATATGCAAAGGTCATAGAGGCCCATAGGTTTGGACACCTGTTTCCCCCCTGTGTGGGAGGAAGCTGTCAGGTGATGTTCCCTTACCCCATGGTCACCGGCACATGCCAGGACCACACAAGAAGCAGGCCACGGAAGACCCTGAACTGCCATTATGCAGGGTTATGTTGTTAGAACCATCTATGGTGGAAAGGAAGCCACTCGCCCCTCTCCGGAAGGCATTGGTTGGTGGCCTCACTGCGCGTAGAGGACGTCGTGTTCCCGCACACGCTGAGGTTGTCTACAGGGGCTTCTAGGCTGGCACTTTCTCTCCAACGACTGGAAGGAGTTGCTGCACCATGAAGTATCAAATTTGTGCTGTCTCAGTGGGCCCCAGAGAATAGTGACATGGTCAGTACATTGGACATTCAAGGAGGAAAGGGGCTCGGTGAGAAGCATGTGTTTCCTGGTCATGCGCTGTGAGGCTGCTCTCGATAGTCTGTACGTGGAACATGGGCCCACACTCACTGTGGGCAAGACGCTGACCGTCTCACTGGGATGGCCAGAAGGCCCTTCCTGCTTCTGCTCTGCAGTAGTTGGGTCGCAAAAGCGTGTGTTTTAAAGGCAGTTCCTTTAAACGCGTGGTGTGGGACACCCTCGCAGTGTGCTGGACTGTGGTGTGGGACACCCTGGCTGTGTGCTGGACTATGGTGTGGTGTAAGATACCCTCGCAGTGTGCTGGACTGTGGTGTGGTGTGGGACACCTTCGCAATTTGCTGCTGGAGTTTGGTGTGGTGTGGGACCCCCTCACAGTGTGCTGGACTGTGGTGTGGGACACCGTTGTGGTGTGCTGGCGACCCACGGTTGACACAGTGCAGGACAGCTTGTCCTCAGGCAGGAGCCCACACCTCACAGGGGAAACATCTCCCATTTGGGAGAAGGGAAGAAGGCGGATGTGGACAGGATGTGAAGTCTGTGCAAAGGCCTCTCACCCATGAAACCAGGGCACAGCACCGCTCACGAGGCCGATTCTCTGTGCCTCACATAGTGCACACGTGCCAGCGTGCCAGTCCTAGGAAAGCCTTCATTGTTTTGTAAGTAATGAAACATGTCTTGAGAGACCTGTTGGGTTATTCATTTATTTAAGTTTGCTCTAGGGTGTGTGCACTCACCAGAGAGATGCGGGGAGTAGGGAGCGGAGGAGCGATGGCCATGGGCGATGGCAGTCCCTCCTCCTCCATCCCCCGCAGGATTCGGGGCATGCACACCATGCACCCGGCATGTGTTTTTAAGTCCCCCGGTCCAGGACTCAAACCGCACAGTCAGCCATGTGGGATCCAGCTGCTTTAATCGCCACGATGACAGCTGGTCCCAGCCAACATGCTTTAAGATCCCAGCACTGAGACTCCACCTCGTAGCAATGCGCCTGCTCCCTGGGACGGGCTCCCCGCGGCGCGTCCTGGCACCTCGTGGCAGCAGCCGTGCCTTCCCGAGCCGATCCCTCCTCATCATGAGCTCGGCTTTCCACCGGGAAGCAGGGCTGGGGCAGCAGGTGGGCAGTTTACAGCCGGCTGTCAGCGGAGACGGGAGTCCTAACAGCAGCGCGGTTCTGAGACAGGGGCCAGTCTCTTCCATGAGGAGAAGTAAGGGGCAAAGTGAAATTACAGGTAAATGTAGTGTAAGAAATCCAAAATGGTGTAGTGGCTAAGGTAGCTGGATCCTATGTGGCCTACTGCACGGTTCGAGTCCTGGGCCGGGGGGTTGAGAGGCTCACTGGGCACCCATGCGTAAGTCCCTAAGATCCTCCCGGAGGACGAAGAAGGGGCTGCTGTGGCCATTCCCCGTGCGATCTTTCCTCACTTTCTCTCTCCATTTAGTTTAGTGAATAAACCTGATAGCAAATTAAAAGATAAAAAATTCTAGAACATCATGGCTCGGCCCCATGGCACAGTGGTTAAACCTGTGCACTGGGAGCCAGATCCCACAGGGCTGACCATAGTTCAGATCCCAGCCCTGTACAAAATGACACCATTTTGTTCTGAATTATCTCACATGATTATGTTCATTTGTTTTGTTTTGTTTTGTTTTGGAGAGGTTTTTGCTATAGGGCACGTGTGCTCGCCAGAAAGAAGAGAGACAGAGAGACAGAAAGTGAGAAATCACCCCCCATGGGGGATGGCCACACCGCAATCCCTTCTCCTCCATTCTCCTCTCGGGATCTTGGGCGCGCATGCACACGCACCTGGCTTGAGGTTAAGCTACCAGGTCCAGGACTTGAACTGCGGTCGGCTATGTGGGAGTCCAGCAACATAGCCATTACGCTAACTGCTGGTCCCTGTTCATTGTTTTTTAATCATTTATTTTATTTATTGTTATAATTATTTTTAAGCAAACTTTAAAAAGGGGGAGTTAGGGGAGCAAACAGTAAGAAAGCAAGCTGCCAGGGTCAGGACTCGAAACACGGCCGGCCACGTGGGATTCCAGTGCCTGAACCAGTATGCCACCTGCTGGCCCCAGGTTAATTGTTTTTTAGCAGCATCTTTTCTTTATTCACGACAGAGTAGGTGCACGTGCAGATGAGAGTGAGAGTGAGAGAGGGCAGGAGCAACCCTTCTCCAGCCTCTGGGCTCTCTGCTAGTGGTACAGCACCTGGCCCTGTGAGAGCCAGCTTCCCTCGAGTGGGTGCTGCCACTGTGCCAGAGCCAGCCCAGAACTTATTTAAAAGTCAGTCTTGAAGATTCAATTTTTGATCATTGAAATATTGAAATCTGTATGCATACAGCAGAGTAAAAGTGCATCTGTTACAGTTTCGGGTCTGGTGGCTGGCCATGAGTATAGAACAAATGTCGGGCCCACACGTTCGTCATGGCGAACTGGGCCGGCCACACATGACAGTCTCCTAAAAGATTCTTGCTGCTCAAGATAGAAAATACCAGAAGCTGAAAATTGCGATCTGTAAAATATGACCCTCATTTATTGTGTGGGGAACCCTTGTTATCTTCTGCTATCTTAAGCACACTATGTAATTGTGTTTTCATGAATCTCCTTGAGAGAGCATTTAATGGTAGTTGCTGAGATTCTTCCCCTTTTTAAACAATTGTGCCCACGTTATCGCTGTCTCATAGTTTAACTTCTTTAGAAAGGCATTCTGAGACCACTATATTTTAATTATCGTAATGAAATGTGATCATTTTTCATCATAGCCTGTGCAGAGGCTTGCAGGCTGAGCGAGTCCATGGAGAGTTAGTGCATGCCTCTAAGGAGCCAGTGCAGCCCTTTCCGACATTAATTCCAGCCGGCCTGCTGTCCTCCCACGTCCAACGCGAGCCGTGCAGCCGTGGCGGGGCCGTCTGTCCCTCCCAGCTTGGTGACATGCCAGAACCTGTCATTTTCCTTCACCCACACAGTTCCTGGTTGAAAGTTCATCTCAATCCAGGAGAAAACCAACTCCATGCTGTCTTACATGATAACATATGTTAAACTGACATTTTGCCACAGGGTACCTCTGTTTGCAGAGAGTTTTGAGCGGGAAGGCCCCACGGGGTACGGCCACAACGTACCCCCTTCTCTTTTTTCTCCCTCCTTCAGGGATTCTGGGCACACAGGCACATGTACCCGGTATATTTTTAAGCCACCAGCTGGGACTTGAACCGCTTTAACCACCAGGCCATGGGCTGGCACTTGCTATTTTATATATATATA